TTTTTTGGTGAGGCAATTGGGGTTAAGTGACTTTCTCCCAGGGTCACACAGCTAGTAAGTGTTAAATTTCCAAGTCTGGATTTGAACTCAGGTCCTCCTGACTCTAAGGCTGGAGCTCTATCCACTGTGTCACCTAACTGCCCCCTTCATGTTCATTATTAAGGACATATTAGTGTAAAGTCCTTGATTAGAACAATTTACTTCTGGCTTTCATAATTTTAACCAAGGGTTAGGAAGGAAGCAGGAAGGAAACAAGTATTAAGTGCCTACCTTGTGCTAGGCACTGTGCTAAACACTTTACAAATATTATTTCATTTGATTCTCATAGGAACGTTGGGTGGTGGGTGCTATGATTATTTCCCTTTTACAAAGCTGAGGAAACTAAGGTAGCAGAGGTTAAGTGACTTGTCCAGGGTCCCACTGCTAGTAAGTGTCTAGGATAGATAGGATAGAACTTTGCTGTGTGGAAGTTGCCATGATAGTTGTGTTTTCTGTACTTGATGCTTTCTGTATGTGACTGCTTTTTGCAGGTTGAGAACTCAGAGGAGATCAGTTAGATGAGGAGGAGGAGAGGTTATAGCAGAGTGGTACAGTTTGGGTCTTGGTTCCTTCCAGAAGTGACCACTGTGCCCAGTAGGCAGCTTGGTTATTTGCTCCTAAGCTGCTTTCCTCTGTGACATATTTGTTGCCACCTTAAACTGGCAGCTCCTATTAGTAATCTTGGGCAAGAGGCCTGCCAGGTTGCTGCCAGGCTCTGTTCTAGCTTATCTTTAGTTTATCTTTATCCACCCCACTTCACTTGATAGTTGAGTCATGACATGGCAGTCATTTTGTCCTGAAGAAAAAGGTACTGCTCTGAAGTAGGGAAAAAACAATTTTGCCCTCCAGGGAGGATAGTGAATTGTGATTGTGCCATATATGCCACGAATGCCTCGAGCTCTTTGAAGAATAATGTAAATGAGAATTATTAAACAGAAAAGAGTGATGTTGAGATTATGCTCGTTTAGTTTTGTTGTGCTTGTGGGCATTTTATTAAAATAACTTCCTTCTCTTTCTGAGTTTTACCATCTTAGTCTTCTTGGAGTTGGCTTTCAGCAAACCAGATTTCATAACATGATTACTAATTCCATATAGTTCAAGCCAAGAAAACCTCCCAGTAAATGCACTTCCTTTGTGTGGCATTTCTTCTGGGTAATTGTTTTAGATTTTCTTATCCATTTGGAAAAGGGTAATACTTCCAGAGCACTTGGAATTCTTTCTGAAGGGTCATACCATAGTTTCTTGGAGTTATTAATCACTTTGGTACAAGACCTAACCTAATTCCCAGGTTTACCGAATTGGTGTAAATACCATTTTGGCTATGGGTCAGCACCAGTTGCCAAAACTCTGAATTTCTTCTCTCGTATGGAAACAGCAAAAGAAATGTTTTCTAGCTGACTGGTGAGCAATCTTCTTCTGGAGATGAGGAGAAAATGCTTGTTTAGCACTTAATTACCTGTTATGTTAGACAGCTATGAAACTTACGAGGCATGAAAGAAGAATAGGTCCCCCTCCCCCAGTCATCAGACTGGACACCAGGTGATGGGAGTCACAATACATCAAAGAGTAGGAACAACTTCTTAGGGTGTCTTTACTTGAATTTCCCTTGTTTTGTGTTGCTTAATTCTAAGAATCTCCCTCACTTAAGCAGCCTGTTGCTTTCTCTAGTCTGTTAGTCCTGGACTTGTTCTGGTTAGTGTTCTATATTCCTCTTTCACGGCTGCCACCTTCTTTCTCAGAACATCTTTTTTTTTTTTGGTCTTATGACTCCCCAGCAAAGAGCAGCTTTTTGTATGCCTCTGACTGGTTAGTGCAAAGTGTGGTGCTTCTATTCCCTGGTGTTAAGGCTGATTTATTGCTGCCTACAGGCCCCAGTTAGACAAAATGTATTATTTTAGACAAGATTACTTTCTTTCAATGCATTTCATGGTGAAAAATAATCCATGTTCCTTTGCTAGCATTTTTGCTTCAGTTTTCTTTATCCCTTATATTACTTTTCATCTTTGTTCTCTTAAGTCACCATAGAGGTATGCAGTAGAGCCTGGCAAAGGAAATATACATGTATATCTTACTTTTGGGGGGCAATAGGAAAGTTGAGTACTATATTTGTTTTCACTTTAAGACATAAAAGTATATAGGAAACCTCTTACCATGCCATTTTTCTTATCTTATTATCTCATCTCAAATTTTTTTGTTTTTGTAATTCTCTTATTTTATTAGTATACAATGGGACAATATTCTAAGCTCATCCAATATAGATTCATATTGGCTTCTTGTCAAGAGACAAAGGTTTACATCTAGTTTGAAGAAAGCAGTAGATTGTAGAATGGACTCTTCTTTCATACATAGATGTTGTCTCAAAAGACTCTAATTTTCAGTATGTGCTGTCTTGGCTTCAACTTGCCATGATGGATTTTGCTGTTCAGTTTGATTGAGTAGGCTTTAATATAGGTAATTACAAGGCCACAACCATGTTTGGAAGTACCCAGAATATTAAAATTGCCATTGCATATCCAAAGGATTTAAAAGGACAGTTTTACCCTTCCCAGTAGGTAAGAGGATTCACAGCTCCCATAAGCTGCTGAAGGAAGTGGCCTTCCAACCAGCCGTTTCCCCTGGCAAACACTGAACATAATTTACATAGCTTCCTACTAACTCAGCCTGAACCTCTTGTCCTGCCTGGCTCTTAGTTTTGAAACAACAGGACTGTGAAATGCTGGCAGTCCTGTTCTTGGCCTTGACGCTGTCCAGGCTACAGAGGGGAGAGGGCAGGATAATTGAAGAAGAGGAACTGTAAGCTGCTGGGGCTTCAGCTCCTGGTGTGTTAAGTTTAAAGATGTCAGTGAGAACCTGTGCTTATGTTTTTGCCAAATCAGCTGACAGTGGTTCTCAGAGCAGTCCTTATGTAGAGTTCACTTTTTTTTTTAGTCCATACTAGAACCTTCTCTATCCTGAGCTCTGGAAGGATAAAGGGGCTTCATGTACATATACACATTGCACACAGCTTAACATCTGATCCATCCAGTGATAAGGCTGTACTAAATGAAAGCTGTGGTCTTATCAGAGCAAGATCTGCAGCATTCTGTGCTGAGAGCTGTGACATGTGGGCAGAACCCACAGTAACCAAGAGTACCTTCTACCTCCTACAGCACATTGCTTATCTATTGCATGCAGTAGAGTTACTAAAGAAGATTGTAAAATACTGACTTTTGAAGTTTATGCTACTTTCAGAGAGGCAGCATGGGGTAGTGTAGTGGTGTCAGATAGAAAACAGATTCCTTTGGGCTGCATGTTGACTGAGAAGACCACAGATTAACATTATCTATACCACATTATATTTTTATTTATTAAACATTTCTGAATTACATTTTAATCTGGTTTGCACTCCAGAGTTTTGTGGGCCTTGAGTTGGACACCTCTAGTGCTATTTTTATTTTTAAAGATAAGAAAACTGAAACTTAAAGGCCCATAATAACTAGTACTAAAGGGAAGATCTGAATCCAAGTCATTTCTGGCTCCAAATACTGCACTTATCTTTAAAAATAAAAATAACAAAACCTGAAATACTTACCTTATAAGGCTGTTGTGAGGCTCAAATGAGAGAATAGGAAGCAGTGCTATGTGAATGCCAGATGTTGTTGTCTATGAATTGCAACAGAGTATTTCTGTGGGTACATCCTGGCAGGTGAATAAAAGTAGAATTTTATTTCAGATGACCAAATTTTAATATATAGAAATAGAAAGCCTAATGGTGGCAACTAAGGAATTGACTTTTCTGCTCATGGGATCTTCCCTATATGCTTGTGAGTTTTACTGGTTGAGTTCAGCAAGGAGAATATGTGGCTAGATGGGCAGTCATGAAATGCCAGGACAGCTCCAGAGAAATGTTTCACTGACTCAAGCTGTTACTTTGAAACATGTGATTGAGTGATCACTGAAGTTTTATTCTAGTGTCAGTGACTCCCAGAGTAGAAGGAGTAAGAGCCATGGTTGTTCACACATATCTAGTTCTGATTGATGTTGTGAAGCAGTATTCTGAACAGTTTTCACAGTTATTTTTTAGGTCACCTTTTCACCCTCACCAAGACTTGATTGCATCCAAAGTGACAAATTTTTGCATGTTCATACCTTTCAGAATGAATCTTTTTCTTTCTGTTAAGTCATGGAAGGGCTTTGTTTATTCTTTCTGGCAAAATTTCCTTAAGATATTTTCATTTTCTTAAGTCTTTACAGTGCTTTATTCAGTTGAATCCATGAAGTACTCAAGTTTCTGAGATGAATATAGTTGGAAACTTCTAAGTTTCCCAGGGCCAGCTAGGTGGTGCAGTGGATAGAGCTATGGGCCTGGAGTCAGGAAGACCTGATTTCAAATCAAATCTAGCCTCAGACACTTACTGGTTGTGTGACCCTGGGCAAGTCACTTAACCCTGTTTTGCCTCCATTTTCTCATTTGTAAAATGAGGTGGAGAAGGAAATGGCAAACCACTCCATTATTCCCAAATGAGGTCTTGAAGAGTCAGATGCAACTGAAATGACTGAACAACAACAACAAAAATTCCCGACTCTGGATTGTTTGTTTTTTCATAAAAGTCAGTTCTGATTTGTCTTCTGGGACAAGAAGTGTACTTTTGATGAAATTGTTTTGTGTATTTCCTGTAATAGATGGGAATTCAAAGATTAAAGACTTCATACTTTACAAAGTATAGCACTACTACTTTGGGAGAGATTAAGGTTTCATTCTCATTTTTGTCCTGGCTGTGTCTTTGTTTTTCTCTGCTTGCCTATCTGTGAAATGGGGAGATGATTTACTACCTGTCACCTACCTATTTGGCAGCATGTTATCAGTATTGGTGAGGTATAGTCTATGGAACATTTTGAGTTTCTTGAAGAAAATGTTAGAACATTTTAAATATCGTCCAATCTAGCCCAACTCCCTGGATTTTTATGTTTATATTTTTCAGTACCCAGACCTCAGTCAAGAATCTGATTCTCCGTTTGTCTTCATCTGCACAAATCCCCAAGAAATGATCCTGAAGTTTCCTATCAAAGGAAAACACAAAATCTGTAAGTCTATTTCCAATATCATTTCATTGCTAAACTTTTGCATTATGACTATTTAACCTGCCCTGCTCCTAGTGCTGTTTGGTGATTACTTAGTGAATTAATAGAATTATACCTATATATTATCTCGTTGTCTTAACATTAAGTTCAGTGCCATGTAGCTTTTCTTACTTGGCCTCTTATCCATGAGCAAAGAGCATGACCTGACAGAGGGGATCACTCTAGTGTCAAACATTCTCTTTTCCTAGAGATGTCTTAAGACATTAACATTTATGACTCTTCCAACAAGTAGAAGCCCAGTTCTTCAGTCCAGAGAAGAGACCTGAATATATTTGCTTACAAATTCAATTTACAATCAGCCTGGAAAATAAAGCATTAAGGAAAGAATTGCAGCGGTTCAATAATTGACTTTTTGTTCTTTGGTGTTTTTTCTCATTCTGACTTCTGAAGACCTCATATGACCAGTTTAATTGTTCTTTCAGAGCATGAGTTTCATCCCTTTTTCACGTTTCCCACTGACAGCGTTTTCCCTGGGGCCATTTCTTGGAGCCTTTGTTCTTTCTCTTCTCCCACTCTGGGTGATCTCCTCCTCTCTTGTGATTGCAGTACTCTATACATAATATATCCTTGTTTATTTATTTTTCCCACTTTCAACTTCTCCTTCAAGTCCCAACCTCTCCTTTTTGATTCAGCACTTCAGCATTCTCTGCTTTTGGATATTTCAACATAAATTTCCCCTACAAGCCCCGTGAAAATGTGACAAAGATTTGCCTGTATTTTCTCCAGTTATCCCCTCAGTTCAACTTATTAGTCATTATGGTTTATCACCATAGGAGACAGCTAGGTGGCTCAGTGGATAGAGTGCCAGGCTTGGAGTCAGGAAGACCTGAGTTGAAATATGGCCTCGGACACTCACTAGGTGTGTGACCCTGGGCAAGTCACTTAATCTCTGTTAGCCTTACTCCCCTGGAGAAGGAAATGGCAAACCACTCCAGTATCTTTGTCAGTAAAACTACATATGGGGTCATGAAGACTTGGACATGACTGAACCACTGAACAATAGCAAATGGTTTATCACTAATCTATTGATCAACTGAGATGATACATATAAAGTACTTTGTGAAACTTAAAGCATCATATAAATGTCAAGTATCATTATAATCATTACCATGTTACTGCTTTCTCACTTTAGAAAGTGGTTTTGAAAAATTGGGGGTTCATGCTACACCAGTTAACTAAGCCCTGTTCATCATCACAAACTATACTCCAGAACTGAGCTAGCCATTTCATGGGTATGTTCCATTGGTCTCCATATTGACTGTTTGGAATGTTTGAATGAATTAATTCGCTTAATTGTCAGGTTAGGAGAACTTCATCATTCAAAAAGCATGCATCCTAGAAACCCTTAGGAAAACAAATATATCTATCTTACATGGAAACTACCACTCCAGACATAAGGAAGAGGTGGCCAAAATGGCTGCTTTTCTCCCCACTGCTTAAGCTTGATGTTTTCTTATCCCTTCCCTGCTGAAGACCTCATTGCTTCTGAGACTGCCCATCCCCCAGCCCCTGTTTCTACTTCTTACCTCACTGTACTCAGTACTAGTCCATGGTATGGTCCTCTGAGTATATAGCAGCAGGACTGGTTATGGTTTGGGGTAGGGATGGGGAATGCTAGCTAAGGAAACTTCATTCACTAGGTTCTTCCTTGTTTCCCACTATTGCCGATCCCCTGAGGATGAAGCTGAAATTGGTCTTGTCACGAAGACCCTAGTCCCTAACCCATTTGTGGAACTGTAGTTCTGTTTCCCACCATGTGTAACAATGTTTCTTTGGAGAAAAGCCTTCAAAAGGCCAAAATGATGTCCAGAAATACATCTCCCCTTATTAGAATTGGATCTGGGACTCCTCTTTTTCCTTTCTGTTCTGAAGGGGATGGAGATGATTTTTATTTATTTATTTATTGATTAGGCAATGTGGTTCAGTGACTTGCCCAAGGTCACACAGCTAGTAAGTGTTATGTGTTTGAGGCTGGATTCGAACTCAGGTGCTCCTGAATCCAGGGCTGGTACTCTATGCACTGTGCCACCTAGCTGCCTCAATGGAGATGATTTTTACATCAGATTTTTGGTGCATTCAGGTACATACCATTTTCACCTTTGTGGATTTTGGCTTTCTATATGGATTGGAGGGGCTGGCTTGGAGGAACATTTTTTTTTTATTCCTTGCTGTTTCAGATTATTGTTAGCAATAAAAACACTTAGAAAATATACAGTTAATTTTGTGGGTGATTCAGGGACAGACAGGTTAGGGAATAAGCTATCAATCTGTTTGATTTAGGAGTGGCCTGTGGCAGAAGGGAAACCTTGGTTGATAGACATGGAAAGTAAAACAGATGACATCACTTTGGGGGATCTGTGGAATAAAAAAAGCAACAGAATCAGTAGGGCTAAGAAGTGTCCTTAGGAGTTTACAGTGATAGATGATTTTAGGCCTCTAGCCACTCACCCAGGTTTGTGCGTTCCTTTGCTTCCTCTAGAGCCTTTGCCTCTGTCCCTGATAACATAATGGTAGTAGAGAGATTTTCCCAGCCTCTTAAATTAGAACTATGAATGCATTTCTCTGGAGAAACATTGTTATACATGGTGGTTAATAGTACTGTACTAATACTAGTACTTTATGTTATTAGATACATTTTGGGTTAAATAGACTTTTGTGATCTGGCGTATTAACCATCCTATAGAATAGCTTTTTCCAAATTAATCTGTGTACTTTGGGGCTTGAAAGGTGAAACATTAACTGAACCTATAACTGCTGGTTTGGGGATGCCCAACAGGTGGGTATGGATAAATATGGGGAGAAATAGAGGAGATTGTGACTTATATATTGAAAAATGTTGTATGTGATAATACATTAGAGGGGAAAATATTATTTGTTTACATTTTTTTTTAAGGCAGTTGGGGTTAAGTGACTTGCCCAGGGTCACACAGCTAGTAAGTGTCAAGTGTTTGGGCTGAGGCTGGATTTGAACTCAGGTCCTCCAGACTTCAGGTGCTCTATCCACTGCGCCACCTAGCTGCCTTTGTTTACATTTTCTTAAGGAACCTTTATAGACATTATACAAAACACCCAGCAGTCCCTTGAGCACAGTTTGGGCAACACCTTTTTATAGCATTGTTTCTCTAGGAAAATGCTTTGAGGTATAAACAAGTAAGTTATTGACATAGTAGTTCACAAGTTGGGGACACTTTGTACTGCTTTCCATTGATAATAAAGACATCTGCCTCATTTGCTATCCTGCCATTTACTTTTAGCTACCATGATTAAGGTTATGTTTAATACTGAAATACTGTCACAATTTAAAGTATTCAGAGAGTGCAGCTGAGCTGGTACAGCATAAATATCTGAAGCTTTAAAGAGTTAAGTTTTCTGGTATGAGAAAAAAATCTCCAAATTCATGCTCTACTGGTAGAAAGTCATCTTCAAATACGAAGGAGAGCACATGATGGTTTTACCTTTAAATATTTATGTTCTTCACTCCTCCAAAACTTAACCAGTTCCCAAATTCTTCCATGAATTTCTTTCAAGAACTTTGATTGCTCCAGTCTACCCTTATTAGCTCTTAGTTTCTTGACTCCGATACCAAATCTAATGATTATAATGACAACTTCCAAATTTTCCCTCTTTGGTGCTTTGTTCTACTGTGATTGAACTAACCACAACTTGTGGCTTCATAAACTGCTTGAAATTTACTGAAACAAGTATTTGGAAGTTTATAATGCTTTTTGTGTGAGGTTCTTAAAGGCAGTTAAGCTTTAGGGAAAATCCTCCTACTAATCAACTTTTAAGATGTGGAATCCTCAATATAAAGCTGTTAAATGATGTGACCAGGTTGATGTGGTAAATTAGAGATAAAGCTGAGACCATATCTTAGATGCAAAATTCCCAGGCTTCAGCATGTCACAAGAGGCATTCTAGTTTTTAGGTTGTTTTTGTCATAAGAGCAGAGTATTAGAGGTCAAGATCTCTGCATTGAATTCCAGATTTAGGCTGGGTTACATTACCTCTTTTTTCTTTTTCACCATCTGTAAATTAAGGAAAAGTTTATTTTTGCCACACCCTCAAATGGAAAACAACATCCTCAATGATTAAGATAATAATTTTCCTATTTATAATGAATTTTTTAAAAAGTACAATTTTTGTATCTGGTGTCATATCTTCCCCCTCCACGCTAAGTTTCTAGGTTTTTTGTTTGTTTTTGTTTTTTTGCTTAGATATCCTGGGGTATAATAATTCCTCAGGCCTTAGTTCTGTCCTAGAAAAGATGAAGGGAAAAAATAGATGATTCTAGAGGAGTCATCTTACAACAGGGAAGTTTATTATGCTTAGGAATTTAATATCTCATGTTTGTATTGCATTTTATACTTTTCAAAGTCACATTCACATTTATCACCTCACAACAACCATGCCAAGTATGTGAAGCCTATATTATTATCCTTATTTAACAGATGATGAAACTGGAGGTGTATAAAAGTTAAAAGAGGTCACACAACTGTGTGGCTGAAGTAGGACTAGATAGACTACAGTTGTTCTGATTTTAATCCAGTGCACTTTCCAGCACCTAACACACACTGCTGTTTTGTTTGATAATGAACATAGATGTGTGGCAGTGTGTGCCTCTGGGATTTTAATATACCTGTATGCTCTAGGAAAATGGTTTCTTTGATTTCTCCTTTAGTCAAATACCACTGAGCCTTTTTTTTTTTTCCTATTTATTAAGTTAAGACTTACCACTTAACTGGATGTGACTTTGTATAGGAGAAAGTAAACCAAACACCATTTTCAAGAAAGAAAGACAGGAACCTTGTTAAGATGGTTGTCACAAGGTGACCCTTAAGACTTTCTGGTGCTGAGTTAGAGCCTGTCGTTTTTCCTAAGAGTTGTTGCCCATGGAGGTTGCTTGTTGGGAAGACAGAGGTTAGCTACATCAGTGACACATTTCTCATTAGGGTTACCTGGGAAGGAAGGTGTTTTTTTTTCCCTGAATTTTAAACTTAGAAGAATCCCAGAGCCTGTGAACTCTGCCCTTCTTAGCCAGTGATAGGGGCCCTTTGTCAGTAGAGCATTCATGCGGTTTCTGCTTTACTGTTTGAGGTCACTCCCCCTATTGAGCTCAGAGGCTGCTCTGGGGGTGAGAAGAACTGCTTTTCTCACTGTGGGGAATATTCATGCATCAGCCTAGCCAGTTAGCAGGTCCAGCCTTGGGTATCCCACTGTGTGAAGGGCCATTCCTTTATTACATATGTGTGTTGTGCTCACATCAGACACCCTGAAAAAGTGATAAGTTCTTTTTTAGCAGCTGTGAAATGAGAGACTTCACTTCTTATCTTCTTTGGCAAATACCCACTGGATTTTTTTTTTATGTCCTACACAATGCTTCTACCTCCTTCAATTCCTATATAATGGAATTCTAGAGTTTGGAAATAAGTGTCTGATTCCTGAAGCAAGATAATTGAATGTGACAGGAACAGGGTAACTAGGAGACCTGTGTGTCTACAATAGATTTGCATTGCAAATATAGTTTTAAAATAATGAAATTTCTTTATTCTCTTTTATAGGGAAACTGGATTCCAAGATCCATCAAGGAGCAAAGAAAGGGTTAATGAAGCAGAAAGCCACTGTCTGACTGAGAAAAGGAACCCACACTTTGCTAGTGGAGAATCCAGAGTTGTGTGCTTCCTTTGAAGTGGAGGCAGTAAAAATCTCTAGGCTGGACTTAAGCATTGACTCTCTCAGAATATAAACTCTTAACAAACTGTCATAAGTTCTTGGGAGTGTGTGGAGAGAGGGTGGAGGGAAGATGCTTTCTTCACACAGTGGGCTAAACCTTGTGTACTGTTTATAAAAATAATTTTAAAATTCCAGTCTTTGAGTTTTTTTTCCAGAAAAGGACTAAAAGAGCATAAGTAAGAAAACTTTCCCTTAGCTTCAAGCTGTGTTCCATTTGGTAGATTTTGTTTCTTGGGAAAGCAGTTATTTTAAAGGGCTCCTTAGATAGGAAAGATTCTTTTTTTCCTAAGTCAATCAAGAAATATTGATTAAGCATCTGTGTTAGGCCTTGAGTTTACAGAAGTAATCTAAAGGGATAGATGGCAAATCTCAAAATGTTCAAGGGAGCCTCTGGCTAAAACAGGCTTGGCATAGTACCAGAATATCAAAACAAGTCATTACCAACAATTCTGTCATCTTTTTTAAACTGATCAATCCAAAAAGTGAGTCGGCTGGTCATTGGCCTGACTTGACTCTGGGACTCATGGGCTTGAGCTGGCTCTCTCTTCCATCCCCTCCCCCCTTCCCTCTCTTTCTTTCTTTCTCTATTCCTCTTCTTTTTTCTCCCTACCAAAGCCCTATGGAGCCGATTGCTATTGCATAACTGCTATATAGACCTGACAATTTGACAACCTTCCATACTCCATTTCCCTAAAGAAAAAAAACGTCTTTAACAAATGCATCCAAATGTCCCCAAACACTGAAACTAAATCCTCAGATCACACTCTAGGGAGCCCAGTGGACAAAGCACTGGGCCAGGAATTAGAAAGACCTGAGTTTGGATTTGACCTCAGAAACTTACTAGCTATGTGACTCTGGGCAAGTCATTTAACTTCTGTTTGTCTCAACTTCCTCATCTGTAAAATGAGGATAATATCAGCATCTATCTCACAGGTTGTGGGGATCAAGTGAGATATTTGTAAGAAGCCTGGCACTTGGTAGGTGATATGTAAATGCTTATTCCCTCCCCCTCTGGAGAGGGAAAGTTATGTGCTTTGAAAAAGTAAGGGGTATAACTGAAATATGATTATTACTAGTTGGTCTGGCCCCACTTAGGGAAACATTTTGTTTCTGAAGCAGTTCTAGGGAGCTGTTAGAATCTCAGTTCCTGGCTTCTTGAGGAAACTCACTACCTTAAAATATGTATGTTCTGCTTTTTATAAAGCTATGGCATCACTGGGGAAGTTGGATTCCCTCCAGGAGTTGTGTGCATGACTTAAAAAAGGGAAAAAGTACCCTGTGTTATGAATAAGATTAATTTCCCCTTTCTTTAATCCTTCATATTCAGCGTTTATTTGCATTGAAATGCCTACACTCATTATGCATTGATGTTCACTCAACTGTAAACCCTGCTTGCTGCATAGCTCTAGGCACCGGTTCTACTTGGCCTGAGTGTTACTGATTCCCAGGCAAAACCTACCACATATTAGCTCATGATGGGAACATGGAATAGTCCTTGCTCTCTTGTTTTAACCTGCATGGGAAATGCAGGAAGGATAGCACTTATAAAAAATTACATATTGGCCTTACGAAGGCAACAGTGCTATTAGCAAATGAAACTAGACGGCAGTTAAGTCTATCAGACAGTGGCATCCTGTATTATATGTTGGATTTTGTCTAGTTTTTTTTACTCAAACAAAATGCACAGAGAAGGTAAGAATTTTCTGCCTTTTTATTTGAGTACAGAAAGGAGTGGATTGATATCTCTACTTAGAATGTCCATGAAGGCCTCAAGAAAAGTAGTCAGAAACTGCTAAGAAGTCTGGTTATACAGCCCTTCCACATGCTAAATAAGGAGCTGGGCTAGGTGGGGCAGTTGCTAGGAGAATGATGTGGAAAGCTAATCTTTAAGATACAGCAACAGTTTCATTCCATTTGGGGTTTAGGGTGGGGGTAGGTTGGAAGGCAGGAAGTTAAGGAAGAAGTGGTAGAGAAACTTGTTGGAGAGATGACTTTCAGCTCCTGTATGATAAGAGAACATGATTTAAAACATGGTGTAGCTCCTTTACAGCTTGTATGCTAGACTCACCATGGACTGGTCTTTCAGTGCTTCATAACATTTCACACTGACCTTATATTTAAGGGACAATTTGGATTGTGGGAAGCTTGACATTTCTGAGCTAGTTTTCAGTTGCAGCCAAAGTGATTGCGCCCCCTTTCGGCTACAACTGGGTCACTTAATAATCTTTTAGCACCTGAAGGGGCAGTCTAGTTTTCTTTCTTTTTTAAAATTGAATTTCATTTTGTTTATTCCTTCCCCTCCTCCCAGTTCCTAAGCCACAATTATTTGCATACTTCAAAGTTGGTTATGCATGATAATGAAGGCTACCCCTAAGGCCCCAAGAGAATTCAGCTTTGGGTTAGCTGTTTTGAAGGGGGAAGAAAATTTGCTTGTGAGAACACCAATTTGAAGAAATGGATGTAGATTTTCCCCATAGTCTTTTAACTCAGAAACAGCTGGAAACTTCAAGAAGTCAACAGGAGAGCAGGTGTAAAAATTTGAGTCCAAAGGTTGATTTTATTCTAGGACATTACAAACGAATACTCAAAAATCCCTTTACCTTTAACCTCCCTCTTTTATTAATGCCTGTTTATATATTTAAGACTTTAAAATATGCCCTTGCCAGAGACCCGGAGCCAGAAATATGGCAAGTAGCTTGGGGCTGTTCTGCCCATCCAGAGAATGGACAACAAAAAGAAAGCATCTATTATGCTGGAGATCTGTAAACTTCAGCATCTTACAACTGGGGGAGAAAAGAGAGCCCAAAGAATTTTTCTATTCCCTGGGATTCCAATGGCAAGTGCATATTTGCTGCTCTGAGCCTCTGAAAGTGCTGGTAGGGGGTCCATTGGAAGATAACATTACACTCAGGTTCCAGAAGTTAAGAAAGCTAGCTACCAGCACATGAGAGAGCATTTTAGCCTCAAAAGGCTAGAATGCAGTAGACTGTACAGTGGGAGGGCCATCCACCTTCACAAAGGATGTTGTGTGGGTATGTATACATCTCTATGTGTTTGCATGCCCCATTACTCAAAGAGCAAAACTTTAGTGTGTATGAAATCCTGTCACTTTCCCAATCTAGATAGAAAGCAAAGGCTGAGAAAAGTTGGTTGGCCAGATTTTGAAGAAAATGGGGGGAGCAAAGGGAGAAGAAAGGGTGTGTCAGTTTAAACAAGAAAGGGTGGAGCCAGCCTGAGGGATGTGGCCAAAGAAAAGAACAAATCCAGGGGGGAGTGGATGGGACCAGGCAGGAAATGCCCCTGGAAAATGGAAATAAAAAAGACTGGTTTATTAAGCAAATAGAACTCTTTAAATAAGAGTGGAGGATTACAATGAAAAGAAAGGGAATGGGGCTGAGAAAGGAACAAAAGGTGTCTGAGGGATGTGGGGGAGGGGAATAAAGGAGTTAGAGGGTGCAGCAAATTAAAACCCAGAAATGCTTTAAGTAACATAGGACACCTAAGCACCTTAAAATTGGGGGTAGCTAGTTTTACCTTATAGCGATTCACATTTATTTAGGCTAGAAGTTTTCGCTGTAGGGAAAACTGAGGGAAGGAAATTTTCTTTCCCTCCTCAGTTAAGCTTATGTCTCTTTAACTTTGATTGTCCTCTATAGGATCAGATTTCATTTAATTTTTGAATTGTTAAATAACATTTTTCTAGTAGTGCTATGTTTCTTGGTAACTTTAATATAGCATGCCTAATGTCTTGATAAAACCATATTTATTATAAGCCCAGTATTATTCTCAGCCTCAGAGATCAGTTTAGCTTTCTGCAAATGGTGGATGTCAGTGCCTATTTTCAGACCAAAGAACAATTTAGTCAAAGAAAAATAACTGTTTTGCCAGTTATTCAGATTGGAGGATCTATAAAATGGGGGAGGGTTGGATTAGATAACCTCTAAGATCCTTTCCCATTCTAAATATGATCATATGAAGTTATTATTATTTTTTAATGCTAAGAGGCCTCCGATCTGTCTGGGCCAAGGTTAGATACCAGTTTTGTCACGTAGTTAGACACTCTCTTCAGTCTTTTCTCCCTTTTTCAGTGTGGAATAGAGGATAAAATGCTGAATCTGATTCAAGAAGCTGTGTTCAAATCTGTAACTTCAAATATGTGACCATAAGCAAGTCATTTAACTTTTCTGACCTAACTCCCTTATCTATATAGTAGCACCTATCTAACAGAATTGTTAAACTTAAATATGATTGTGTAAAGAAAGGCTTTTTCTGAACCTCAAAGTGCTACATAAATATCAACTAATATTATTACTTTTCTAAGTTTGGTGCTTATACAAGTGATGCAGACTGCACATTATAGAACCACATCCTTTGGTAGCTAGTACTGGGGATAAAGTTTGTTCCACCATAGTCCAAGAACAAACAAAGGCGAGTCATGAAAATTCTGAACTCAGTTCTAGTTTTGGGAGCATTCCAGGTTCTGGGTTGTATTTCCAAGTCATGTGTTACCAGAGTGTGAGAGACTACTGAGTACCTAGAGATAAAGGAAGAAAGAGAGGTCACAGAGGCAGGAGAGAGGAGGAAAATAGGCGAGAATCCAACAAGAGATACAGGCTCTGGTTAAATAGTAAAGAGTAGGGAGCCTCCAAGATAAAGATAAATTTCCATTTGATATGGAAAATGGGGAGGGATCCTTAGTGAAGGTCATGTAGAGGTCCAGAAATAGGAGGGTTAGGAAAGGACAAGATTACAACAGTTTCAGGCATAGAATAAAACACTAGAGAATAGGAAGATGGAATTTGGGTTATTTTAAGTTGCAGAGAGGAAAGAGAAGAATCAGGGTTTGGTCACCTTTGGGTTAGGGAGAAGGGATTGAAATTCCCCCGGGGAAATAGATAGCAGGTTTTATTATTCCCATTTTAAAGATAAGGAAACTAAGGCTCTTTTTGGGAAAGACTTGAGGCCCAGGTTCTTTGCCTCGGGCCAGGCTCTACGTCTGACAGTCTTTCCAAATCATCCAGTGAATGGTGCCTTTATTTTGGGTCTCCGGCTTTGTCCCGACTAGGCCTTTTTTTCTCCTCCTGGGCGGTTGCTGATCAATCAATAAACATTTGCTAAGCACTAGCCACAGCGC